AAAAAAAAAAAAAAAAAAGTAGACACACTTTGGCAGGTCACCATACTAATTAACATCTAGAAGCTAATATCCACCACTTTGAGCACCTCTTGTAATTGCAGAGGCCAAAGATAATGTATTAATCTCACGATGTCTTAATAAATTTAATATTAAAGTATTTATGCAAGTTTTTCTTTTCCTAATATGTATTTCTTTTGGCGAACTCAAATGTGGCATAGCTACGGGCACTGGGTCAGTCCACACTACATGAGAATGGCAGGCTGAGATGAAACACCTGTGAAAAGCTACACACCTGGCGCTCCTCCCCAAGTCTGGGCACCTCAGTATTAAGTTCTTTTACTGCCATCAGTAGGAATCCTTAAATTCCAACTCAGAACTGCGCCCTAGAAATTTACTTCTTACTGAGGAAAGAATGAATTGCCTAAGTGATCGCAAGAAATGGATTCACAAAAAGAAAACAAGCCACTGTGCTTTTGTTCTGTCAGAGGCTTGAAATAAAATCCAAAGACAGGTTCACTTTTCCCTGAAATTAAAAATTAACATCACATAAAATAATCACCTTCAGCACCATTTCCCTCAACCAGAATCTACTGAACAGCATCATGCAGGAGACAGCCCACAGATTAAGAGGGAGACTATGGAGTCAGAGGAGAAGGGAAGAACCAACACATAGTTCTGGCTCCACAAGAAGTTGGGAGAAAGAGAGGCAAAAACAAAGGGAAAATATAACCCCAGAAGTTTTAACAGCCAAGGGTGAAATAGAGAGAACTATAACGAGAATTAAAATTACCCAAGAAAATGCAGTTTTAAAGTGAATTCAAAATCACATTTAAAAGTAAAAAAATCACCATAAAAGTGCTTTATTTCTAAAATATTTTAATTATCAATATAATGCTCAGAACCCTGGTCAACAGTTACCACTTTATTGCACCACAGGGAAAAATCCTTTCCCCCCCTCTTCTTACTAACTCAGGTGTGACACTAACAGCACATGACATTCCTGTTTTTGTGCTTTTATCTTTGGTTTTTACAAAATCTGAGCTATTATAGAGCATAGATGAGTTGACAGTAAATAACCATCATTTATATGGGATGCTTTATCATTTTATGTAGCATGAAAAAATATTTAGCCAATAAAACATAGCTGGAAGACAACTTCTGATTTTGGATTAAATATGAGGGAGAAAGATGGGAATAAGAACCTTAGAACTGATGTACCCATGCACAGAGTGTAGAATTACTATGAATTTTAAACTTGTCTACCCCTAGAGAAAGAAAAATAATCCACAAAATAAAGTGTACATAATTACCACTAGGGCTAAAGAAATAAAACCAGTAACATTATACAGAATGGGTGGTACACAAACCAAGAAACTAGTTTTTTTGCTTTGTTTTTTGTTTTGGTACTGGGGATTGAACTCCAGGCCTTGCACTTGTGAGTCAGGTGGCACCAGCACAGAGCTAAATCCCCCATCCCTAAACAATTTATGTAGAAATCAGGTCTAAACTGTGGCCAGCATAAATTCTTCTTGTTTAAGAGTAAATTAATTAAGGGACACCTTGCCCCAGGACATATGTATCATTGAAGGTGGCAAAGCCAGTGAGGAGATTAGATGAACTTATCTGACCACACTCCTCCCTCCTAACTCAGCTCCATACCAGGTGACAACATCAGCAACTTCCAATACCTGTCTGACATAGGTTAATTAAAGTAGAAAAACACTTAAAAATTTCTCCATTCTGGACCTAATCAACTGTTTCAAAAAAGGTAACTTTTCAAATCTTCCTTATCAGTGTTAGGTGATCAGTGAAACGATTTTCTGAACTATGGATTGCAGAAGCATAGAGATGAACCTTAAAATCCACCCAGCTTCCCTCACTTTACAGGTGAGGAAACCACAGTCCAATGAGGTGGTGGTACAACCTCCTACCCTAGGAATTCAATTCAAACTTTCTTAGCCTCTGCCTGGAGCTCATTCGGGTACAGCACATAGGATGATGGCAAAAGGTGTCAACAAATCCCAGACAATCACAATACAGCATTTCAAAGACACCAAGGATCCACAGAACTGTAGATCATGAATGTGAATTTTCCTATGAGGCAGATATATACAGGAAACTAAGTTGTCCCTTTCTGAATACAAAGCAGCAAACACTAATTACTGAAAATGTTAAAAACCCAATTATTAACAATAGCACTTTAACCTTGACAGATGAGAATAATGCATCTTGTCAAAACTTGGGAATTTTGGTGTTTTTATTTTAGCTTGAATATGTAAATGTTTAATCAGTCGAATTAAGTAGCAAGACATTAAAAAGCAGAAAAAAGACGCAGTTTTTACAACCTCGGTTTTACATCTCTACAATAAACACAATTTTTTAACAGTATCTTCTTCGCTGCAATTTTATTGTTGGATTTCTAGTTTGGTCTTTCCGTATTTGAAAACTAGCCGATTTATATCGGTATCACAATGAACAAATATATTCCTTCATGTATGACAGTTTCAGCATACAGAATGCAACCTCAGCTACCAATTATAGCTGCAAATGAGCAATAGTGTGGAATGAGACAGCCTGCTGGCTTTGTTAGTATTCTGTCTCCTCTGGGATCCCGTGGGGAAAGGGGAGGCTCTGATGAAGAGAAGCCCTTGGCTCATGGTTTATTGTGCTTGCCACCAGCTGCAGACTTCTCATCTCATTAGTTCTTTTAGAATACTGTGGGTGAAGACAGCTGTAGCCTACTTGAGTCTTCAGCTCCTGGGTATTCTGAAGGCTGAATTTGCTATGCACTTTCTGTAATCCTTGGAAAAAAAAGAAAGCAAATTCACTAGGCCAAGGAAATGTATTTTTAAAATGAATTTTAAAATATTTTTAAAAGTAGAAAAATTTTATTGCTAAGGTGCATTGTGTTTGAAGTTTTTCATGATCCAATTTTAATTACGTGTATCATGCCCAGA